ACATTCATATTTGTGAGTTAAAAAATGTGTTTTTTACAGGACAAAAAAACGGCGAACTGAGGAGGAACCGAAAGCACTTTCTTCACCAGGAGGGCGAAGTCCAATATTTTCGAATTTGTCACGGTCGCCAGGCAGCCATTCATCCCAATCACCAAAAGGTTCACTACTATCCGTATTTTCAAAATGCTTTCACCTGTTTAGTGTAAGCAAAATTCATGCCCAGTATTACATCACTGTGTATGCGTGCTTTCATTTTTTAGATCAGAGAGAAGCTACTAAATCAAAGTCGGACACGCAAATTTGCAAGACTGATATGATAAACGTTAGCTATATATTTTTATTTACTTTGAACAGCCTCAACTGATGATACGCTTTCCCAACTGTGCAGTTATCTTTTCCAGTTGCTTTAACCGATGCTACATTTGCCTAGCTGGAGTCAGCTGGCGATCCTGGCGTTCGTTTTGTTTCCTGAAGAAATTACCACCTCAGTGATTCTGCTAGCAGAAATACTTGCAAGGCTTTAACTGTTTCGAAATATCAATAGTGCGTTTGAGTGTCGTTTCGAAACCTCCCTCTTCCCTCCCCTCTCCCCCGTCATCTGACTACCCCGCTTCCTTTTCTAAATAATGTTATGCTACCGAGTAGGATTTTTTTTAATTATTGTTGCACTGGTAAGTTTGGTATAATGCTTTGTAAGCAAGTGTTTTCTGCTAAAAATGTATTACTATTCAAGTTGCTTCTGAATGCTTCTGTGTGCCATAAGATTTTGACCAAACTGAAGCTGCAGAAGTACCACGAATGCTAAAAATCTCTCTGGCAATAGATGGATACCCCTGTAATTGATGTTGCTAGCACGCTCCCAAATGCCGAGCGCAACTGTGCCAGGCCCTTCGATCTTAAACTGCACACCTCGACTAGTACTTGTAGCTTGTTCAATATATGTTCACTAGCTTGTCACGAGTAGCTCAGCAGTGGTTTTCTTTTCTCCTAGTACCACCCGCTGATGTACAGTGTCCACCGGTTGTCAGCAAGACGAGAAACATGCCCTGTCTATCGCATTTTTTCTCGTTTGGTCGTAATGGGATCCTACATACCAATCGTCTGGATGAGTGTTCAGTTGTTTAAATGGGATAGACCAAGCATCCTTTGCTCCATCACTGTCTCAGCACATTAGCGTTCCTTCATCAATTCTATAAGTGTCCACGCTTTGCATCTGTAATCCAAAATAGAGAGGTAAACTAACAAGTAGATGTCGATTGATAGAGGATAAGGGTGAGAAAAATATTTAAGGATACTTTATATGAGTTACTTTCAGGTTATAATCAAATCGAATGTCTCATCTTTCAAACCTCTGCGATTAGCGATGAAAAAAACAACCAGCATACGCGTTTTAAAGAACTATCTTCAATCACGTCTAGGTGGGGCTCAGCAAATCGTTCTCATACACAAAGATAAGGAGCTAAAGTGAGTGTTCTATTATTCAGGCTTATCCAGCATGTTTTTTTTTTCTTTTTTCGGAAGAAATGATTCCGAAAGATTACGTTGCGCTCTTCCGTTAAGCTCAGTTTGTACGAACCATCGTTAGCCTGAACAGCGATTTATGTTTCAGTGGAGGTCAGGCAGCTATGCAAGCAAAAATGCAAAGCCACTTTAATTGTTTAAGAAATTTTAAAGATGCAAACAATGAGTATCTTTGGCTAGGGGAGAGGAAGAAGACAAGGGCCTGAAGTCTTCTATGTGTTAACATACGCAGTTTGTTTGGCGTTGTTGGTCCACCGTTGAAAAATAGACAGTTGTGGAAAAACTGGAAGTGCCATTTAGATCTCCAGACAAGCTAGCCTGTATGTACATTGAGCTGTTATCCTGTCTGTGTTCCATCCCTGAGCTGTTAACACAGACGGCAGAGTCGGTGTGGAATGGGTGGGAATCATCAGTACAGTGCCGCAATCCGGCATGTTAGAAGGAACATATGGGTTACCAAAGGAAAATGGAAGAAAGAAAGAAAACAAAGGTGACTGTGCAGAAGATTAACGTAGATTGCAGCGTATCGTGGTAAATGTCAAGAATGAAGGGAGTAATTATTTTAAAAAAATTTCAGGAATGAATTAGGCTCACTCGCCACAGCCGGTGTTACGTCAGGCAGTATATTATGGTTACTTGTAAAACCAGTTGCTGGCAATAATGATCGTGAAGAGATTGCAACGTTAATTCGAATGTCACAGTCACTTGCTAATCTGAGAAATATGATACGTTCACTGCCATCAGTTGATCCTGCCGAATCAAACTTCTCTGCGTCAGTTACATTTTCGATTGTTACTTTGCTGCTTGAATCAGTTACGATTCATAGCTAACAATTAACTCAAGTTTTTGCATAACTTTTCGTTATAATTATAATTTTTAATGTTATGATTTTTACATAACTTTTCGTTTAAATCTGCAGTTTCATTCCATAAGCTATTACTTGTTATAACTGCTTAGTTATAATTACTCGTTGTCCAGTTTCTTCACGAGTGCAGTACTAGTTAAAATAGAAATGCATATAAAAAAGCAGTAAAATGTAAGTATGGCGAAATTCCAGGTCAGCGGAGTACGTTGAAATTGGAACTTTGGGTCACAAAGATGCCGAACATGCACAAATGCGAGAAAAAATGAAACTACTGAAAGAAAGGAGAGAGAAAAATCGGTCCGGTGCCAAAACTCCAACACAGGGAAGTCCAGCGAAAAGCTCGGAGCAGAATTCTCGGGAATCGCTGGGGAGCAAAACACCTACCGAAAGTCATTCACAATCACCAGTCAGTCCACACAAGTATGTATTTTGCGTTGATTTCTGTATTTTTTTTTTATCGGCAAAGTTCTGGCCTACATCTAAAGGTTTCCAGCAAGCGCACTGAGCTCTTTTAAAAACTGCTGTTTTACTGACGTGATTCAGTTGTGGCCAAGAATCAAAACGTATGCAAATGACCAAAACGCACATCCTATTGTAGACGCAATTGAAGCCAGATGTGTCTGGGTTTTCTAGTTTCTCTGGTTGAACAAAACTGGAATTTTTCCTCACTGAGTAAGCCTGCTGCTGTACGAAGCGTAAATAAAGCCTCCCCTGATGCTTCAAGACAGCCAGGATTTTCATCGTTTTTTTTT